ACAAATCTATTTTGTTAATTCCAATCGAGTTGACCTAGATTTCTCTTTTACATTTATCAAATACTTACTTGCGGATTTTAGGATCTACCCTAACCGAAAAAGTAATGGAATTATATTTATTATTCTATGGTTTGAATAAAGTGCGAAGTAAGGCGAACTAGTGAGAAGGTATGATAATCGAAATCAAAGGAAGAAGTTATGTGTTGTGATGATGGTGACTCTTCACTTCTGGCCTAATACATTATTGGGATTTTCCATACCAGAGCAGAAGATTGATTGGAATAATGGAGGAAGAATGTTTTAAAATCCAGAGTCTGATAGTGATGATTTGGTATCGGAATTAGGGAAAAGCAAAGCCATCGGTGAAATCATGGAAACCACCATGGAGGAGACATCGATTTGGTGTGGAAGATGTACTTTTTTGTTGTATGGCGATATTCGTAGAATCGTTGAAGATTGACAATCCCAAATCCTATTTTTTGGATTCTTAATCGAAGAACACCTCTAGATCTAAATTGGGAATTGGCCAATGTCATACAACAAAAGGAACTTCTCTAGATCTAAATTGGGAATTGGCCAATGTTATGCAACAAAAGGAACTGATGTTTATATTGCGACAAAGATTATGGAGTTTCATCATATTAGTGATAGCCATATAGGATCAAGAAAAACTAGAGTTGATAGTCTCTGGTTCACAAAGACATCTCAAGGAAAAGGATCCTTAGAATTTTTTTTCTTTAGTTTTATTGTTTACTGTTATTCTAAATTATGTATTATCATGTATTTTCTATGTAATCGTATATTTTATATAAATAAAGATAGATGTTATAAAAAAAAAAAGGTTGCCAAGTGAGGTGAAATGGGTGCAAAACAGACATAACAGTATCAATTTTCCATGAATTTTGATACTGTTTTACTTGTCGAACGCACATTCCACTCCAAAATCTTAAGTCTATTTTCTCCGATGATTATTATTATATTTCCATCAAGTTATACATTTGTCTTTCATACGGCACCGTTTTGATTAACAGAAATCAAGAACCAGACAATACCTTGGTTAGATTGCTCTGTAGTAAAGCAATTGAATCAATCGTGGATTTAGCAAACCAGCTGATGCCGACTTTAATCCGGTGTTCATCAGTTGGTAGTCTAATCAAATATGCTAATTTTCTCGCTGCGTGACCAATTGGACCTTCAAGTGTAAGCCCTTCAATGAAACTCGGCGAAATAGCAGCATCATATCTTCCAAGAGTCATCATCTCACCTAGATTCTGAAACCTGCAAAAGATTAAACAGAGCTTAAAACTTCTGTTTACATTACACAGACCCAGTTTAAAAGTCTGTTCATTGTTACCTGAATGGTAATAAAGGTCGGTTATTTATGGCTGCCCATATATTCCAACCAGTAAAGTCTGCTTCTTGAAAAGCAACCTGAAAAGTTTTGATTTCGGTATCACGTTTATTCGGTTTTAAGATATGAATGTGATGATCAAATTGTGTTTTTTAAAGTTTTTTTCTCTA